TTCTGATTCTGATTCTGATCTCAGAACAGTGAACATGAAATCAGACTAAAATTTGTGACGCATACTCAGCAGCTTGGTCACTGAATTACTTCTTTACTGTTGGTGTACACACACACGCGCACACACAGTATCACTGCTGCTGGTCCCGCACGGGAGCTGCGAGCAAAAGCCAGAGGGAGACGGCCACTGAGCTCCACATGGTGGTGCTAAGAAATCACAGCGGGTATCAACTCTTACACTTTAACACAATGTTGATTCGGTGGTACATAACAGCGGTGACTTAAGAGTAAAATCCCAATCTTTTAGGTGCCAAGGACCAACCTTATTTGAGCATTATACTAAAAGTGGAATACATATATTTTGTTTACACTATACGATGAATTGTTGCAGTGACACAACTTACCAGTGTTGAATAATATGTAGCGTCCCTGCAGGCTTCCGATGGCACTGCAGCCTCCACTGATTAAAAATCTTTGGTTGGTCTGAAACTGTAACTTTGAAACCTGTCGCATGTTAGGCGAGTGGGAGAATTTTTTCATATGTACCATGTACTGTTCTAAAACAGTTTATACACAATATTTGAACATGCAGTTCATTTTTGTAATTTCATGGATTAAAAAAAAATGCAAAGAATTTTGTCTTTAAAATTATATTTGGTTTAAAAACCAATTACATGTCAAAATGCAGATTTTTTTTCTGCCAGACACAAAAATATAAAAACCAACTACGTGAGACATCTCGCAAGGTTATTAATGCGGTGTACTCACCCTCGAGCATGGTGCATTGTTCCCACACTTCACAGCTGTTACTCCAGACCCTCTCATTTAAGGAAAAAGAAAGATATCAGTTTAAATTCCTGGGACGACAGAAAACTGTTGGCCTAACGTACAAGACCACTGAATCTTCTTCATCACCCAGGATCCAGAACGTAGAGATCGTTAGGTACGTAGCAGATTTCCGTCCCCCAAATAAATTATCAGCTTCTGTGACATCAGTTGCCCCTGATATCTGCCGTGATACAAACACAAGGGAGTAAAAGTAAGCTACTGCCATGAAACTGAACTGCAGTCGTTTTTGAAAAAAGACTACCCAAACCGTGGCAAAGTCTGTTCCCCCTCCACAATCGGCTGGTACCAGAGGTTCAAAACTCTGGTTAACAAGATGTACAAGCATACTCAGGATTTATCCGCAGAGGAAAGGACTCGCCTGAACTCCACCAAAGACAGAAAAGCTCTATTCTTAATAAAAGGCTGGCGGAATGATATGGCCAAATTTGGAACATTTCCTTTTGCCTTAAAAGGAGGTAAATCCACAAAAAACAAACCCAAAAAAGCATTTCCTGTAACTTCTGCTTAGAGATGTTGATAAAAAAACTCCTTAGTAAACTGAACAACCACAGTACAAGTTCCATCCAGGTCAGAGGTTATTAAGATTGTACACTCCTGTAGCCTGACCCTCTCAGCCACCGTAAACAAAGACCGACTGTAGAGTCTGGGTCATAGGGTCGCAGAGTGTCCTCGGGACACGGCGGTGTGGTCCAGAAGCAGAGGAGTTCACGGGAACCAGAAGTCACTTTTGGAAGGGAGGTCAAAAGGTGATAAAATGTTGGAAACGCATTCATGTTCAGTGCGCAAAGGCTGAGTAAACATATATATTAAAAAAAAAGAAATCTACTTGGAACAATAATCTGTTTTCCGCAAAAAAAAATTTAAAAAATAAAAAAGAATTATTTAAATTCTGCAAATTTGTTCATTTTAAATTCCTGTCGACACAATTCCCTAACTTCACGTCATTCAGTTGTATCTCTTGAGTTCTAGTCTCAGATCACACTGTTATAAGTTGCTTACTGGACCAGGACTACTCCTAATATTTGCGATGTCACAAAATAATGCTCCTAGGCACCCGCCCCTTAAAAAATCAGATTTTTAACAAGCACAGAGAAACTTTCCACTTTCAGCGG